TCTAGTACAATTACATTGGACGCAGATCGTTAATTACTATAATACTACGTAATGCCAAGCTAATTTACATCCTCGAGCGCGTTCAGTCTATATTGCATTAGGCAAAACCTAATTACATTAATTACAGTGCATTTCTATAAATACAATGCAAAGGTCACCTTAAAATACTATCAGCTGCAAAATAAGCGCATCACACAAAATACACTGACCAACAGCCAAAAAATATCCTAAATAAAATCAACAAAATATTACTATTTTTAATGTGCTAAAACCGGAATTAAACTTATTTTTTCAATATTAGTTCAAGTTTTAGAGATACGGTAATTATATGTGTTCCTGCTGTGACAGTGTCAATATACTGTAATTCACAAGAATGCACGTGCTACATTTTTATATTCGGCAAGGAAAGATGATGTAATCGGCATGATTGTGTTACGTGATACATACGTGTACATTATATTGTTTTATATTAGCCATTTTTTCCTCGGTTGGCTGACAGCGTTGATGCAAGATGTCTTGAAAGTGTGTGAACAATTCAGATCAGTTTTGTTACGTGTGTGGTGATGTGACTTTTGCGTCTCAGAGACGGTCTATTACTCCACTAATAACAAAGGCATATCAGCTTTATTTCGGTTGTAAACTAGGGGATCAAGACAAACGGTGGGCACCCCACATCTGCTGTAATACATGTGCTTCAAGTCTGAGGAGCTGGTTAAATGGCAAAAAACGGTCTATGCGCTTTGCTGTCCCAATGGTTTGGAGAGAGCCTACAAATCATATTAATGATTGTTACTTTTGCATGGTACCTTGTGTTGGACAAGCCACAGGTATGTCCAAGAAAAAAAAATCGGTTATTAACTACCCAAACATATCATCTGCGATGAGACCTGTGCCTCACAGTGACGAAAATCCTATTCCAAAACCCCCAGAATCCTACACTTGCGAATCAGAAAACGAATCAGATCATGGCGATCGAGTGATTCGTCAGGAAGAAGATATGCCATCAACGTCAAGAGATCCTGATTTTATACCGAGCACGTCATGCCACCAACCGCACAAAATAACACAGTCAGAATTAAATGATCTTGTAAGAGATTTAGAACTTCCAAAATGTAAGGCAGAGTTACTTGGATCAAGACTGCAGCAGTGGAACTTGTTAGAAGACGATGTTTCGGTATTTTCGTAAACGCCACAAAGACTTAGAACCATTTTTCAATATGGAGAATAACTTGGTTTTCTGCAGTAACATTAACGGCTTACTGGCGGCTTTAAATATAAACTATAACCCAGAAGAATGGAGATTGTTTATAGACAGTTCAACATTGAGTTTAAAGGCAGTGTTATTGCATATTGGAAATATTTTACCTCTCTACTTACTATCTCTTCCTGTAGGGTATGCAGTTCACATGAAAGAATCATATGACAATATGAAGTACCTATTGACATGCATAAAATACGATGAGCACCAATGGCATATTTGTGGCGATTTGAAAGTTGTTGCACTTTTACTTGGGCTGCAGCTAGGCTACACAAAGTTTTGCTGTTTTTTTGTGTGAATGGGACAGTCGGGCAAAGGCACTTCATTACACCAGACAAAACTGGCCTGTTCGTCAATTCCTAGAGCCAGGTCAAAAAAATGTACAGCATATGCCATTAGTAGGTTCGAAAAAAATGTTATTTCCACCACTGCATATCAAGTTGGGCCTAATGAAAAACTTTGTCAAGGCACTAGATAGAGATGGGTCAGCTTTTCAATACCTGCGTCAGAAATTTCCAAGACTAAGTGAGGCAAAGGTTAAAGAAGGTATTTTTGTTGGGCCACAGATTCGAAATATTTTGAAAGATACACAGTTTGAAAACACTTTAACAGGTATTGAAAAAACTGCTTGGAATGATTTCCGTCTGGTGGTCACTAATTTCTTGGGAAATAGAAAAGCTGACAACTATAAAACTCTTGTCAAAAATATGCTGTCATCGTATCAAAAGATGGGCTGTAAAATATGTCTCTTAAGATACATTTCCTACACTCCCACCTGGACTTTTTTCCTGTCAATTGCGGAGCCGTAAGTGATGAGCACGGCGAACGTTTTCATCAGGATATTTCAACAATGAAAAAAAGGTACCAGGGAAAGTGGAATCCTTCCATGCTTGCAGACTACTGTTGGACTCTTGGTAGAGATGCTCCAGAAACGATCCATAAAAGAACAGCAAAAAGACAGCGCATATAGTGATTCTTATAAGTATATGAATCTTGTTACTTTTTTTAATATATCCTTAAAAATTAAAAGTTTTTTTCTAAACCGCAACTAATTTTTTTATTTCATTGTCATTTTTGGATTCAGCGCCCCAAAATTAACAAAGAAGTGCACTTTTCCCACAAGATACAACTAAAAAACTAAAATTTGTTGTCCAGTGATATTGGTCGACATCGGGATATCATAACTTCTTTCTAACTTCAGCTCTTTTGTATATACAGTTTCTGATTGGTTTGCTGTCAAAAATCAACCGACAGATAAACCATTGATTAACGTATTCTACCTGGAGATAGTCAACCTAATGCTATGTTCCCCATCGAACAAAAAGTTATGAGAGATAAAATGAGATACTGTAACGTCGTCTATGATAATTGTTCACATGTGTTTCTGTATTTACAATATACAGGGTGATAGGTAAAATTCTGTTCTAGTATAAGTTTTCGAAATTTTTGGCATTCAAATTTTTATCTGAAAAATTGGCTTATATGCAGTTAATCCCGCGCCATTTCTAGAGATATCAACTTTTTTGGACCATACTTATTTTAAAATACTCAGAATTAAACATTTCATCTCTTCCAGTATCATCCTCAATATGGCGAAAAACCCACATAAAAGTCATACCAGGACATAGCTGCAAAAAAGCGAAAAATAAAACAGCAGAGAGCGAATAAAAATTATACAATTTAATAATTGCTAATAGTTGGTCAACTTCTTTAAATAATTGGCACAGTGATCGTACTTGATCCTCTCAGTCTACGGGGTGCTAACGTCAGTTGTAAGAGAGGGGTTTTAATATAAATATAGACTTTGGCATGTCTTTTATGATCGCCACCTTGAGGCAAAATTATTTATAGTGGTCGAGATGAAATGTTTAATTCTGAGTGTTTTAAAAATAAACCTGTTCCAAAAAATCATAAGACTTTTATATCTATCAACAGTTGTAGGATTATCCTTCAATTTCGGGTGACCCTGTATATAGTTTGAAAAGGTTCGTGTCTCATAGATGGTGCTATAGCTACCTATATGCTTGTCAACTCTCATATAGGCAGCGCCATATAACCTAACCTTTTCAAAGTATTATAGTAAACAGCTATGACAAATTCTCATACATGACGCTACGGAAGATAATTTTATATCGGATAATATTTTAGATGCAGGAATATAGCATTAGGTTGGCTATATTCAGGAAGAATATGTTACTCGATGGATGAACCAAATGCTCAGTACTAGTCAGCCTGTCATATCGTCAAATTACAGCTAAAATTAATAAAAAAGACTAATACTTTATGCCTCACGATTATTACCTGAGAGTACCTACTGTATTTTTAATATGCCAATGTTATGGTAAATAGTGGAGAAAGCTACTGACAAGAATTATTATTTTCAGAATGATTCATAACTTACGTGATTATTCAAATGAAATGTGTTGTAGTTGGGCAGACTTTAGTGATATTTTGCAGGCGGTGGTTATAGTCTACACAATACTCTAATTGTTATGATAAAAAAGTAAGCCATTGCCTGAGAAAATTATGGACAGTTCATAGAAACCAATAATATACATGATGTTTCTCAAATAAGGAGCGAAAACTACTTTGTATTTTGACGATTTTCGAAGAACCGCTTCGTTACGATGAACAAGTTGAAACAAAACTTCTGGAAAATTTTATATTTGCAAAGAGGTAAGCTTCTGAATAAACAAAAACTACTTAAAACCAGTATTTGTATACCTCCAACACAAGATTTAATCATGCCATCATAAACCGACAAAATATCTACTACTACAATTGCCAAGTCTGTGTAGATTAAAAAGCATAACACATTACTTTTGCAGATAAAAATGATATCTTTCATGATAATATTCAGTAAGTAAATCTTCAAGAATAAGCGGTTTTTCAGAAAGCGTTCTTGTAACTTCAACCTGAATATTTCTGTAAAGTTCGAATTGCACTGTATGAACTCGTAAATTTATAATCCAGGACAGAGACTATTAAATTCCACTTTGTTCTTTTGATTAAAAATTTACAAGCGAGTACGCATCGCACATTATTGTCGAGTATTGATTTTTCCGACTGGAAGGATGTACTTTCTACGATAATGTCTGATCAAAAATCTTATTCGAGAACATGAAGATCTTTGATATCATATGATATTCCATTGGTGTCTCTATCCTACTTGTTTGACTTCAGCGAGGACCTCAAATCTTTATTCGGAAGCTTTTCGGAAAAATGTTTAGATGATATTTTAAATGGAAATATATCATCTCATCTAGGAATACAAAAAAATTGTTGAGTCCTTGTTAATCGTCAAAGATTCACTGTCAGTGATGCAGAGAAGAGTTACAGGAGAAGAAAAGTCCTAGAAAATGAAGCTTATATGTTAATTTGTTCCGATAAAAACGACTGGTCTCGCTGCAGGAAATACAACATACTCTAGATCTCTTAAAGGACCTTTCAGCCTCTTGAACTCTTACATACGCGTATAGCCACTATATATAAATACTTTATAATTCACCAAGATGTTTTCTCTAGATACTGTGCAATTTCATTAACCCTCAACAATTGGATTTCGTTCATTTATGCTGTATAACCGGATCTATTACTTTAGTTGCAAATGTTTAAAAGAACAATTGAGAACTTCACAAATTATATATTCTGCAGTACAATAATTTTTTGGCCAGTTCTGCGTACTATCAATTTGAAATATAATCCATTATAGTAATTCGAAATATGAAACTCCGAGGATATATCATGTATTCCTCTTTTCAGAATCATCTAGAAAGTGAGAAAAAACAAAAAGATTTAAAAAATAAGCATTATGGAACTCTCAACCCTAAGCTTAAACGGCATGAAATGACCGGACTGTTTTTCTGCAGCTTGAAAAACAGAGACACTGAAGACTTTTCTATGTATTCCCGAGCAGAATTTCGGTTCAGTTCCATAAAAATAAAATTATTTCCTTTTAACCCTCTTGGCAGCGATACTCGACAGACAACCGCTTATTCTGGCAAAAACGCTGTACCACAAACATGACCGAGTACAATAACTGCAGATATAAAGCTTCAAGGACGTCGATAAGGGTATTTATGAAGGGATACTATCCATAAGACTAATGAAAGATAGATACATCAATTCCAGCAACGGTATTGGCCAATCAACAAGGCGTCCTAGAATAATACTGTAACTCCCTGTATCGTACGTCAGGCTACAGTTTGAGTTCTGGCATTAGTTGTCAAATTGTTGTTTAGGTAGGTATATTGTCAGTTGTCAGTCTGACGCTCCATTGATAAACATCCACGAGAAGAACCCTGCTCCAACATACGCACATAATACTGGGTAACTCAATTACTCACGTAAGGGAGTTCAAAGCCACGGCGATACCCCTCCAATCTAAACAGGGCACATTTCGATAGTCGCTCTTCGTTCGATATCCCGACTTTACGCTTCCTTCCCTCCATATCGTGAATCCATCTGTGAAATACACGTTCAATATCGTCTCAAAGATACGCACATAACCAAATATGGGAGGGCTTACTTTCGATTTGTTTTGTTACGTATTCGTTTACTTTGATGTGAGAAGGTTTTCCTACAGGTTGTAGTTGAACATTTTCGGATAATGGTGAAAGACTCTTATTTATGAAAGAATATTCAATTAAGGCTTATTGGCTTTTTCCCAATATTTTAAGGTTGCGCACTGGAATAATTTTGACCAGGAAACCCCAAACTCTAGAAAAGGTAAGTGCCCTTAACCGAAGCCCCCACCCAAAGCGGACCCCTAGACTCATTGGCCGTGCATTCTCTGATATTCCATTATCCCTCCACTACTCTGAGAGCAACCTCGTACAGTCATCGTTGCGAAATAACTCATTAACTGTTCTTATGCCTACCTATAAAATATTTCACACTAACAATTAGCATTAGATCTACTATGCGGAACACTTAAAAATCGCCACCCCTCCCTTATCTTGTTCTTTGAGTGATATTGCGCATTACGTGTACCTAGCCGCCAGAAGATACTAGAGCCGAGAAACACGTTAACTTCGCGGTACTTCTTGCTCAAGGTATTAGAAGCTTTATGTCAGTATTTTAAAGTTCGCAAACATTCCAGGCCGCGCCTCGCACTGTGATCAAACTTAAATTGTAGATTCGGAACCAGCCAAAATTATTTCAGTATACAAAACTGATCAAAATTATTTTTGGGAGCTACAAAATAGTTCGAGTAGTCAAATCAATAATGGTTAAGCTATTTCAAATGACTTACTTCTTTTCTTTGCTCTATTTCTTCCTTCCTTTCTTTCCTTCTTTCTCTTTTCCGCTTAAACATGTTTGGTATCTGGGTAGCCAGACCTGACAGACTAACAGACCGACGAGACTTTTTAACTATGACCAAGGTGATTGTTTAGCCTACGCTCGGGAAGAAATGGAACCTCTGTCTGTCGCTCTGTCAATACGCTAATTCAGCTAGTACGCCAGAAGTAGCCCAGAAAATCCGCAAAAAAAATGAAAGTGGATTCGAGCAGAAAATAGGACAGGTAAGCCAAGTATTTCTGCTGAGCAACAATTAAATAACAGGGTTGAAGGATAACATCAAAAACACGTTCCTTCCATAATGATATTTATTAACCTTGAAACTTCATTTTGTACTAAAACGCAAAGAATAATGTTCGAATATATAGATAATATGGAGTCTGGGGTGTGCATACCGCATCAGCGGGCGGTCCGCTACCTGTTTTTATGTCCCTCATATACGAGTACACTACCAAAGATGCAATATTCACAATTCCCTGGCGCGCCGCGAATGCGAAAGATAGCGTCAACTGAAAATATGTTTCTGTGTTGAGGGCAAATGTGCGAGGAAACCTATATTACAATATGTCTAATAGGTGCTTAGAATTACCGGGGTCAGAAGTGATATACTAACATCAAAAAGCACAACCCTCCTCTACCCTCTACAACCCTCCCAACCCACAACATTTTACCCAAAACAAATTTTTCAAAAATGATCAGGACACTCTGAAATGTCAGAAAACGTTTTTCTTTTCTCGTTTTAGCATTTTTCTTCACCGGCACTGGACCAATTTCCAAAAACCACAAAGCTTTTTTGTCCTTGGCATAACTTTGTGTAAAAATGTTATCCAAATCCGAGCAGTACAGACCGACCGAAATAGTAACATCGTTTTTCGTTATGTAGATGTCATATAACATCCAACATAATATCCCATAGGACTGAACAGATTTATTGAATCCCCGTGTCGACCAGCAAGCTGCCGGTATCTTTTGTAAACACACGGTGCGCCACATTTTTACCCCACAACGCAAGGAGGAGCGTTATAAGTCTCACCTGTATATGTGTCTGTGGGATTGAATCGCTCCAACGGAAGAACCGATTCAAGTACCGCTTTTTTAATCGAAAGTCTTGTCTACTGGCACCGTTCTTAGCTATGTTTGATGGAAATCAGTTTAGCTGCTCAAAAGTTATGAGAGCTGCGCAACCTAAAGCGAATACTCGTATGCCTGATTGAGTATCCAATGGAAGGGTTTGATTTGTCTTCTAAATCATTATTCTAATGAAGGCCGGTCAAGCCGTTCAGAAGTTCCATTTTTCTTTACGATTATAAACTCCCAAGCGTCCAACTCCCAAATAAATGAACCGATTTGACTACGGCTTTTCTAATCGAAAATCCTGTCTCTCGAGGGTAGGTACGGTTAATGCTGCTTTACTAGTAAAAAGTATCAACATAAGATTCACTTCAAGGTCGTTTTTTTAATTTGCTAGCAAATAACTTGCGTTCATAGGTGTTTTTATTTTAGCAGCAGAAGTGCGTGGACCACGAGTGTCTGAACGCTGACGTAACTACACCGCTTGTGCTAGTGCGCCCTCAAGTTCTTACTGGTTCGCGAACATTGCGGAGAACTACGCGCACATTTTGGGACTGCTCGTTCCAGCATGTCCACCATCATAGGCGTTCTCAGAAATTTTTCAACTTTTCTCAGTGAGAGATAACTTTTTATGTACGCACTTCCTACGGATGCCCGGATCTTACAACTAAATTTTTTTGGTAATATCTGAACCGATCATTTCGGTAGGCGCCGTTAAAAATCAATATGCTCTCCATGACCCGAGATGAAGTTGGGTTAGACTACTATCGTATGTCATGTTGGATACTTTGGCGTAGCGAACCCGTTAGGCGAGTGGTAAAACTCTGTAATAGTAATAGACTATTAAAGCTGTTTTTAGAATCTATTAGTTACGACAATTGCTTCACTGAGATTAAGATATTCAAAAAAAAATAAAAACGGTGGTTCCACACGTAGAAGATGAATCGCATTCCGGTTAGCAACCTGGCATAAATTCGTTAATACTGATTAAAATCTACTGTACTGAACAGGGGGTTGAATGAGTTTGAATAATCATTTAAAATCAAACATCCTTGCGTCACTAACATTCGAAATTCAAACTATGGATACTGCTGATTACGCCTATACTATAGAAATATTAATGTATAGTATATATTTATGTATTTATATGAAAAACTGAAATTGAAACAATATAGCAGGGGATTGGCAATGTATATTACAAACACGTTGTTAATATACGAAAATATATATTTATATTCATGAAACTTGCGCGGCTGCAAAAAATGCACAATCAATACCTATAAAACTAACGGCAAAATAGAAATTGTGTAATATATTATTGCATGTTACCTGACACGTCAGTAGATGAGAGGAGTATTTTAATTGCCAATAAACTCGAATTTGCTATAAGTTTTGAAGTATGCTATAAGACACGTACTGGGTGTCCAGCAAAAAATTGACTCCCTCTTCCCCTCTTCTAACCTTTTTATGTGATCTTCTAAATGAAAAAGTTGTGTATAAAACTTACAGGGTCTAATATAAAGTTTTTTATGTAATATTTTCTTCAGAAAAGAGCTATTGAATAAAGTTGTATTTTTTAAAAGGAACACCCTGTATATTTTCAGTGAAAATGGTAGTGTTTTGTTCTAATTCCAAAAATATATGGTTTCTTAAATTAATTTTTATTACCTTGGTCAAAAACTTGAAGTTTGTGTGTCATTTAATCATATACTTATATTCGGTAAGGTTATTACGTAAAAAACGATGCAATATAAAAAAAACGATGAAATTGTGCAAAAAGTGAAGGACAGCTAGTTCCAAATTGACGTCTTGTAGGAAAAGCTACATAATGTCATAAAAACCTACATAAAGTCACTTTTAAAGTTACGTAATACCCCTTCTTGCCACATTCCAAATTGCATAGGTGACTAGATGCAAACCGGTTCGAACTCTATTACACAGATGAGTAAATTACCACGCACTTTAAATTTTTGACCACACATCTTGGAGGCCGGTTTTGAACAGCATCAGACTTCATTTTAGCGTGATTCATAAGTTTTTGATCAAGAGCAGTCTACGTGTTTCTCTATATATACCTAGTTTTGCAGCTATACAGTATTCATACTATACAACTCAAGCTTCTTAGGGGCGCAAATGGTAATACTAGCTGGCCGCTAGCTACCTAGCGGCGAGGCTCGATATATAAACAAAGTTTAGTTATACTAAGACAGTATGGCAATGCGAATAAGATAGAGAGAGACAGACTGGCCAAACAGAGAACATAACGTCCACAAAACAGCTGATGGCGTTTAACCACGTTTGTTGTTATTTGACGACATATGCATGTGGTGTTGCCAGATAGAATAGATAATAATCTTTAGATGAATTCGCTGTCCGTCACCTGTAGCGGAATATTG